TTGGTTCACCAATTTTTTTTTTATTTAAAACATAGTCGCTATATAAAAATTTGGACCATTTTGTCTCTAAAAGAATCAAAATCTATGGTATAAAATTTGAGAGACCAAAATCAAAATGAGGTAAATTTGAGAAACCGAAAATTATATTAATCTTTTTATTATTATTTTTGAAGTCAAAATACTACTACATTTGTAGTGCAGCGCATGCAAAGGTTGACTCTTAAATGTCAGTGACGTCAATGGGATGAGTGGAAACGAGAGGATGATGAGAGTTTTTTAAATCCTCACAAGTAGAGAGACGACCGGGTAACTAATTTGACCCTGACCCATGTGCAGTGAATAAACAAAACAAAAGTGGATACCTTTTGGGCCTTGGGCCTCCCTGTTACAAAAAAAAAAATGGTTACATTAATTGGAAAAGGATGAGTGCCTCTAATAAGAAGATATTTATATTTTAATTAAAAAAATTAAATATTGATAAAATCATTTTTAAAAAAAGTTATTATTGTCAGTTAATTTGTTTGTTTTTACCTCAAACACGCCCTCACCCTCACCTGAGTACAAGCTACCCTCACCAAACTCATTTGTTATTGACCACTTAAAAGACAAATTTTAGTTTTCTTTTTTTTTTTGGTATAAAAAAATTTAGGTTATTATTTTTGCTGAAGTATAGGTATTCTTCTATTAAAGACAATCTTATTCAAGGTACTGTTGGGTATTAAATGTGGACACCTCTCCCAAAAAGGATTAGAACCTTAGTTCTCCATATTGTGAGGTAGACCCAACTCCCCTCGCTAAAATTTAGGTTATTATTGACAGTTTCAAATGCGAGTCAATCATATTAGTGGGCCTATTCATGAATAATTTCGGCCAGTATTGGGCCTCATGTCGGCCCAATCTTAAACCCGAGAGGATTATTTTGGCCCAAATATACGCTTGTTCATGCTCTTTCTTCCCGCTCCCGCCGTTGTAAAATAGGAACATTTAACGCGAATGAAATGGAATGAGAATACTGTGCATTATTGAAAAAATATTTTAGACAAACGTTGAATCTACTAAAAATTATTTTGGAATACTGAGTATTCCTGACAAATATTTTAAAATATTAGATACTATTCTGCGGGAAAAAACTTCAACCCCCCTTATTTCACATCCAAGAACTGAATACGAGCACTAGTATCAGATTATTCAAATTAGTTTAAAAGAAGAATAAGTGAATGACACACTAGCATAAAAAGAAGAACAAGTGAATGACACACTAGCATAAAAAGAAGAAAAATGGGAGGCCCAGACTAGCTCCCTCGAACGAAGTAGTTTTATTAAGTAATTACTCATTCAGTCTTTAATATAAGACTCATTTAATTAATTTGATTAGATTAAAAAAGTTAGGTAAGTTAGTTAATTATAAGAAATGTGATATATTTTTCTTAAAACACCATGATCATCTTTCTTAATACCCTTCTCCCTCTTCTACTTGATTATGGTTAAAGGAGTATTCATAGAAATAATTTTAAAAAAAATTAATAAATATAAAAAATAGATCTTATATTTAAAATTAAAACCAACTTAATAATTAGTTAACCGGCGGGTATTTGACTGAAGCCTCCCTGAGCCGAAAAGGAGTTCCGCAGCCGATATATGACCATCGCGGCCAAATGCGGCCCATGATTAAACCGGCTGAGTGTTTTGGCGCCAAAAAGTATTCTCGCCACCGCCAGGAGTTCAAAGCAATTTCCATTTCATAAGGGGCGTGGGGCTCAAGCTGAAGATGGCTTCAGCGTTGGGATGGTACGGTCCCCTTATAGATCTCTCGAGGGCATCTTCTCACATCGGCGATTTCGTTCAGCTTCTCCTCTTCGTTCATCACTCCACTCCGCTTCAGGTTTTCAACTTCTCTATATCATGTCTTCCCTAGTTGTGCAATGTCCACGATTGGGATATGGCTTACGGTTCATTCTCATTTGCAGTGTAAGTCTTCCAAAGGACGATACCGAATCAGGACAGACATTCAAGTCGGGGATGATACGAGGCCGTATTTTGTAGTGTCTGTTTGGCAGAAGAGTATGGAATCCATGATATCAGTGGGAGATGTTATACTATTACAAAGTAAGATTTATTATCCATCTGACCATCTATGTTTCGAATTCAGGGGTCCCATTGCGTTAATTTATTTTACAGTCTCACTTGAAACCAAAGTGTGCTATTAATGATGGCTATCGATGCTCATCTCAAAAATACAATCTCGTTATCATGTTCAATCACTTTGCAGTGCCACATAACTTAATTCCGCTGTGTTGATTTATAAAATTTTAAATACATCTTTGTTTCCATCCGTCTTGGTTGCCGAAGAAACCTTCTGACCATCTAAATCCAGACAAAAATTTCATTTCAGTGATGTATTCAGATACAAGTAATACGAAGCTTGTGCTCTTCATGGGAATCTCTCTGCTTATTCTATTCCGTTCTATTACTTTCTTTTTTTAAGCCATATTTGGTCCTTAACTGAAAATCTTTATAAAAAAAAACTATTATATAGATATAGATAGTCGATTTTTGTAATCAATCATAATTTTATTTTTGGCATATGGTAGATGTGAAGATAGTAAAATTTGGAGATATTGTTGAGGCCAGAACCGTTCAGTGGTCGTCACTACTTTGTTTGATCCACCCTTACGAGTTACTTATTTCAAAGGGTATGTTCTTGTTCTCTTGTCGGCTTCTTGTCAGCTTGGAATGACCTAGATGAATGACTGATAGAAAGTTAATTACTTAATGTATTGCTGCGTTTTATCCATTTGTGCTAGTCATTAGGTTTTGCTGCGGGTATGCAAGTGCTTGTGTATGACTTAATTTCATGCTTAATAGACCCAAGTTATGTAACTTGATTTGCCCTGTTCAATAGGATTTTGCTCCTTCGTCTTAAATATAAAACCTATTTTGTAGTGTAATTTACACTAAAAAATGAATCTTATATTTAGGATCAGATGAGTAATAAGTTTGAGTTTGCAATACATTTTTATTTATTTAGAATTTTCTTAATGGAGAAAAAAACAAGAGGAATGCAATATAATGTTTTCCAGCGCAGATATAGAAGAATTGGTGGCAGGCTGTCGCGTTGGGATAAACAGCAAGGACAAACTTAGGAAGGTCATAAAGTGGGTGCAGCAGTCTAGACCTAACATATGCAGCACAAACTCTTATCAAGTATTGTCCTGATTACTTTTTAGTTTTACTTTTTCCTGTTTACTTAACTCTTCTTATGCTGATTATCCTGGTTACTTGTTAGGGAGTCCTGTATAGGCAATATTCATTTACTAACGCTACTTTTGTCAATGTGCTTCATTTCATGCTGCCTTGATTTTTTATGTTCTGAATAATAGTAATTATGATCTGCTCAGCAAACAGGGCATCTGCCCAAAAACTGGAAAGTGGTAGAAGAGCGAATTCCTACAGACTGTTTTTCACTTTCAGAACTATCTCAACTGACATCGTCTTGCAAAGCTATAGTCAGTGCATTTATTGGTGAAATTTTTCTACAAGCGAGCACAATGGATCTTGGTGATACTGAGAAAGAGAAGATTTTCCTTAGCAGGAGAGTTTATAAAACTGGGGATAATAACTTAGTGGAAGATCTCATATGCACTGGCTGTCAGCTTTGTGGTTCACCCATGGGGACAAAGTATGAATTCAGAACATAAAACCTTTAGTCCTGTTGCGGTGGCTACCAACATGATTATGATGATCCTTTACTTTTTTCAGATATGATCAGAATGTTATTCCACTGATTTGTTCGAAAAGCTCAAGTGGCCTTCATACAGTATGTTTGATATATAGGCCTTTCATGGTAACAATTTATTCATATTCCTTCTTGGTATAATTGTCACCACTGAGATAGCACTTAGGATTTGTTGCTAATAAAGAAGCTTCTTCTTGTCATTGAGGGTTTCACATGCCTGTACTCTATTATTTTCAAAACAAATCAAATAAAGTAATCTGTTAGCCAAACCAATTTTCTCCGTCTTGCAAGCTCTTAAAAATTCGGATACTCAACTATATTCTTATTTGCTTATCTTTTATGTTTCGTAGTCACGAAACCAGTCAATGTTATATATCTGGTTGTAAATTTTTTTCGTTATTTTCCTCGTTAGTCATATAAGCTTATCTAGTACCAATAGGTGCGCTTTTCGGCAGCTATATTTGTGGGATGAATCAGACTACATGCCGATTCTCGTCAAGAACAGAGCTGCGGAAATCTTGTTTGGGAACAACAAGGCTGAAAAAGTATATTCAAGTTACAGACAGCAAAAGCTAAATAAAAGTCCTGAACTAAGCCGTGAAGATAAGGCTGAAGATTCTACTTCCAGATTCAAAAATAGCCTGAATGGTTCTGCGAAAGGACTGTTCAGTTCCTGTCCCTCAAGTGCCGATAATAGTTTGCAATTGGAGGGAAAGCAACGTCATGCTGCAGGCTTCAACTCTTATCAGATCTGGTTAATTTTTCTGAAGCTACTGCTGCAACAAGGAAAGAACAGTCCCCTGAAATTTGAGATTACCGTTGATTCCACTTTAGCTACAGAAAATGGGAAGTTCGAAATGGTTTCTGCATTGTTGCCCTGCTACAGAAGTATGTGATACCATCTATCAACTTTTGCTGATTCAAATTCCTACTTCTATTCAATTTGCAATTTCTTGAAAAGTTCGCTTAAAATGGCCCGCGAGGCAAAAATTTGTATATCAATTAAAATCTCCGTCTCCATATACGGCTTTATCAGCTTAAGAATATAACCTTGTAAAGGTTAAATATGAAGACGCCTTTATACTAAACTAATATAAATATGGGCATACGAGAGGATTACAGATCAATGGCCTCTCTTGTTCGTGATTATTGAGATTTTTAGTGAGGTCGGCCTCTCCTTCATGTTTGCCGTTAAAAAATCCCTACCTGTCAGAAAGAAAAATATAGAGATGTCCAGCGACTTATAAGCGGATGGGGACATGAATCAACTAACAAAGAAATCCTTTCTTTCTTATTCACCAGCACAAAAAATGTACTTGTTTGTTTGTTACAGCCATCTGCCAGCATAAGGTGACAATAGTAAATACAGGGGGTATCACGAATGGGATTCAGTTGGCGTGTCATTTGCAGCGGCTTGAGCTTCTTCAAGTAGCTTCATTTGGCGCTCTGCATGTTCCCTTTCGCATTGACTAACTCCCATAATGATATCCAGCATAGTGCCAGTCGTTCCAAAGAATACAAGCGGTGCCAGAGACTTGCGCTTTATTCCCACTGGTATTGCCAGCAATGCTCCTGCTACTGAGAACACCCAAGTGCCTAGTGCACTGCAATGCAAAGAATGCAAGTATCAGAATAGCCCAGCGGCAGAAGAATTTTGAACAGACACATCACCCCCGTGGTTGATTCCAAAGTTCTGTCATGGTTTTGGATTTTGTAACTTGCTGGTTCCTTTAACTCCCGGTTATTTATAGGCTCTCTTTCAATCTCTTTTGTCCAATTACAACTTTCGCAAGAGGTGTTTATAGATGAACATATATATATACTGAGTGATGACAGTTATTCAAAGAGGCACCAACCTCACTCTAATTCATCACCAGTTCACCACATTTTGTAAATACTCATGGAAAAACTACATAATCTTAAGACAAAGAGCACGGAAAGAAGGTGAGAGTTAAGAAAATAAGAAGATGAAAGTGCTGTTGAAGAATGTCTCGAATCCTTCTTCAATGCTCACATGAGCACCTAAATAGTCCATCCAACAGTTTGAGGATGGTCGTAGTACTTAGGACATGCCATTCCGCAGTAGAGGATTACTGCTGACTACAAGCATTGTGTTTTGTGCTTGAAGCTATTATATTATATGGCCGGCATTTTATAAAGTGAAATTTCAAAATATGTAGGGATTTCACGAAATGAAGGATCCCTCGTCTGAGTGAAATAAAATTATTATATAATCGAAGCTCAGTAATGAGCCATGGCTAATCTTATGCAGTATCTAGTAACTGATTAATGAAAAGGTAGTGAACCAGTAATAGATGCATCTTGTCGGCTTAAGATTCCAAAAACACAAACCACACTTCAAACAAGCAATATATGACATTTTCAATCATCCAAAGAACAAAGAAAACAGCTGCTCATTAACAACCACGATTGAGGACTTCAAGGGAATGGATCATCTACCAGCATATACCATTAATAAAACTAGATTCACATCATAGCCTGTCATTAGACCAGTTTGACGTGTTCATCGAATAATCTACCCATTTTAAGACGCGAAATGAGGACCTATTCTCATATCTGAGCCCAGTATTTTCCCCGTCCCTGGTGCTACAGCAAGTTGTTATCCCTTTACCCCCGTAAGGAACTGGCCATTCTCAGCCGGTTAAATCTAATTCTGTGAACCATCACCTCTACAAAGGTAATCGATTAAGACGAGTATATCAAGTTAGAAATTTCGGAACCAGGGAGCAGAGATGATTGAATAGGTAGTTTGAAAAAAATCAAAATAACAAAAAAGAAGAAAGGATGAAGTTACTTGGCAACGGAGCAGTCTTCGAGATGCTTGACATTATCTTGGCCGGCCATGTTTCTTCCTCTCCCCTTTGCGATGACTCACTTTGCAGGTGGAGCCAAGATTGCTGAAAGCTAGGGCTAGCGGGAAGCAGGGAAGCAGCGGGTAATCGACAATCCTCTCTGTTTGGAAAAAAAAAAAAAGAAAGAAAGAAGACGAAGTAAATTTCTTCAAAATTAGGATTCTTTTCTTATTTTTTTTCTGTACAAAAATAAAAGAATAATTACAATGAGATCTAAAAAATAAAAATAATTATAAGCTATTGTGACTTTTTAATAATTATTTTTTTAAAATTTCATTATAATTCTCTCAAAATTAAATAATTTTTTTAATACAAGAAATAATTACCTACTCTCATTGTATTTATCTTTTGAAAAAAACTGTTCTCATCAGGGAAGCATCCTTAATAAAGTTTTTTTTTATCTGTAAAAAACATATTAAAAATAACTTATAAATAGAACTAAATAAGACTAGAGGAGTAGTAGATGTAAAGGGAGTAACCAGTAATAACGTACTAGTGCTAACTTTCACGTCAACAAAATAACGTGCTAAGTGCTACCTTAAAACACGAATTCAAAATTTATCTCATGATCAACAAAAATCATTATCTTTACACTGAATTTTCGGGATGTCGTCATGTAGATTTATATCAGAGCTTTAATAATATTGCCTGTTAATGTCGTTTATATGGATACAGCGGTTTTTCCCGCCCAAGCAACTGCACATATGATGAATGAGAATTTTTTTTGGGCGGACTGTCCCAGTTTTTACCCAAACATAAAATTATTGTTCTGCCTCATACCAATGCAATCCGTGCTATGCTTATGAACCACGTAAATATGTGAAATTTATAATAACTTGCATTGTTTACAAATATGTTTAATTTTATTTGTGTATGACCTCATATTATTCATTATGAATCTTCAATCTTGGATTGTAACGAAAAGATTATGTAATTATAATATCACATCATCAGAAAATAACAAACCTATAATAAATTACGCTTTTTAGGCTGAATTAAACTATGTTTTTTCTCACAATACCTCTTATTACAGACATTATCAGATATTAAATATGAGTTTTTTTTTAGTGGGAAGTGAAATCTTAATTCCGGATATTATAAGAGCCTAGACCAGAACTCATAAAGTTAAATTATGTTATCTTGGAATTATAAATATGTGAACCTGAAGCCCAATGCGACATTCCCATGGGCCTGATCACTGGGGCAAGGACTAGAGAACGTTCAGGACCTGCACGAAGACCATGATCATAGGATTAATTAAAGGGCATGTTGGTACGGAGATTTTTTTTTTGCCAAAAGATGTTGGTACGGAGATTGGTACTGGGATTTTGAGGCTGCTTTTCAAAGAAGGTAACGCTTCAATTTCATTTTAAAGTTTGTTAAGATTTGTTATTAAAGTGGGTTTTATATTTAGGATAGGAAGAGTTTGATTATTTTTCATGAAGCATGAACAAATTATTTTCAGGAAGAAATTTATGATTTTTTTAAAAACAGTTAATTATCTTCGCCATCACATTAAAGATGAAATTTTAATTTTATGTCGGTGCTGAACACCGAGAGAAAAAAGAATATTGGCGTGGTTCCCATGGTTTGGCATCCCAGATTAAAAAGAAAAAACATGAGAGAGATCGGGAGAGAAGCAGGCAAAAGGAATTTTGCTTCTAAAATTATAAATAATCATTTTAGGATTAAGTTAATTCGAATGATGAGAATCTGAATAAACGGGAAGCAAATACATCAAAGAAAATCAAAGACTGCAGGATCCCCGAGGCATTGAGAGATGTCGGTTGTTTCGTTAACAGTGCCCTCGTCATTAGTACTCCGACAATATTGCTGTTTATGTTTACAGCATTAACTTGAGGAGGCACTTACATATGAATTTCCCCTCATAAAATTATAAATGTGATGCTTGTGTAAGAGCATGAATAATGGTGACAGTGACACATACCAAAAGAGGATTATATGGAAACAATTTTAACAGGGAGAACCACCAAGAGGTGCCAGGAAAAAAAACTTAATGACTAAAAAATTCCAATAATAAGTGACCGGCGTGAACTTGTTATTATTACCTGCTTTTAAACTTATCATTGCTTGCTTTTTACTTCTTAATAAACTTCAAGATAATTAAATTTCTTACTTGAGACCTGATTGTAATTCTCTCATCTCAGCAACACAATGCCTTATAGGATATAGGAAACTTGTTGAATGGTATAATTACATATGAAGTTGTTTCCCTCCGCAGTAAAGAAATGATAATACGGGCATCTAAACTAACCAGGTGTCAAGTTGTGATTGAGGCATGATTAAGCAATGGGGCCTACGTCACTTAATAATTAATTCACTAATTATCATTTGGTGGCAGCCGAAACACCATGCATGCATGTGGCTGAGTCATGAGCACTCGAATTTGGACTTGAATCAAAATTAATTAGGTTAATGCAAATAAAGGCTGATCGGTTTATATATATAGATTAAGATTAACGGGTGTGTGTGTGTGTGTCTGTATATATATAATGTTGGGAGTCAAGTCCTGCCACCTCGTAGGCAGTAATTAAGTAGCCTGTGAAACATATATGCCATCCTGCAAAGAGTTCAGCACTGCAAATCGCAGGTTACTACTTTAATCGAAGACAGCAGTGAGGGGATGGAATCTATTCTTGGCTGCATGCATCATATTTATATATTTTACGAGAGGACATGTCTTATATGTAGTCCCTCTGTTTACATTACCAACGTTTGTCTTTGACAGTGACGTGTTCATCAACATGCTATTATTAACTCATATTCTAAACAATATTCAAACCCGAATTTGGTGGGTTGATCTTGGACGTTCACTGTTCCTCAAAAATAAACAATTACTGGCCACGCAGCTATAGCTAGCCGAGATGAAATCATGAAGGGAAAATAATATGTATTAACACAGAAATGCCTTATTCTGATGTGACATGTATGTTGCCATATTCTATATGAACATGGAGAAAGAAAATTTCATGATTTATGCGCGTGCGTGTTGCAACTTTTAGAGCTTATTATTATGTGTGTCAATCAACCCTCTCCACACACACACACACACACACACAGAGGGGGGGGGTCTTTGAAAGCGTACATGTTCTAATAATATATATGGTCATGAATGAACTCTATCGAATCCATTTGCACCGATATATATTTACTGATCTTCCGCATTGAACTCCGACCCTTTAGGTCTAGGGACGAGAATAAGACTGTTATCAACATTAATGAATTAAATGCGTTATCGTGTTTACTGCAACTAGCCAGCTAGGGAGTACAATATTTTATGGATCAGCGTTCTCTGTTCTGCAGATTCTTTAGCTAGTTAATTAGCTAGCGACTCCAAGAATTTAACTCGTTATACGTATTAATTAACCTTCTATTTACCTGACTAGTAGTTTGTCGCCCTCTCCAAGGGTGGCTACCAGTACGTTGGCATCAAAGGTCGGATAGATATTATATATCCGAGATCAGTAAACAGTAATGCAGTATGTATCAAAGTCGTCGGAAGGATCGTGAAAACCATTCATTCTCTCAAATGTCAATAAACTAACGATAACCTAAATTAAATGACATCACGCTTAATTTATATATATATATCCGATAGACAGGATAACCTTTATGAAAAGGAAGTGAACGGACCGAGTTTGCCGTCCGAATGGGGTTAGTAGAGGGAGGTTGCCTGGCTTAGAGGAACATGCCGGCCGGCCATTGCATTTCAGATTTCAACTTTTCGATGCAAATTAAATTAAATTAATAATGCAATGGCTCTTGATTTGATTCATTTTGGTGGCTAATTTGCTAATCGTCATTACTTGTTGCTGCTATTTACGTGGACACGCGCGTCCCTTCACGACATTTAGATGGGAGGTGATAATTATATGATTCTTATTACAAATTATATTCCTTAATATTCATGCGGCAAATATCATCATTATATAAATTGAAAACTTGATCCCTCACGTCTTTTCATTAATTATTCTATGTATTAAACTTGCAATTAAACGCATCTTCGCGTGGCTTGTTTTGGGAACCATAAACGAGGTTACTTAAATTTAATAGAATATATATATGGCGTGGCATCCCCTAAGAGGTAAACCAATTTTTTCCCTCCTAAAAAAATCCTAATTTTGATCGGCCCAAGTGAAATGCTCGGAATGTTGAAAACACCAGCTAGATAAGCCGAAGGTCATGGATTTATAATTTTAATTTATATGCAGCACAAAATAGACGGAAAAAAGAAAGAAAGAAAGACGGAACACTGTTCACCCAAATAGAGATGCAACCATCAATTCTGATGAGTGTCGAGGCCCTGTCAATTGAAGACAACAAGTTGCATTATTTTATTTTGGATAATAGAATTTATCATAGATTTTATACAATACACGAAGAAGTGTCCAGTTAAAAATAGAAATAGGATCGCTGAGGACAGGACAGGCAGAGAAGACCAATCAAATATAAATAGAAAAAATGTCCAAACTACCTCTCTAGTCAAGAAAATTTAAAATGATAAACAATCGGAGGCTAGAAAAAAAATATATTGATGTCTTCGACATTAAAAAATTATATAGCTTCTATTTAACAAATATTTTGAATTTTTTGGGAAAATAAAAATGAAATAAACCAGCAAAAATAAGTAGCAAACTTAAAATTAAGTTTTTTGAAAGTATGACAAGTAAGCCTAATTAAGATAAAGCCCAATTAAGATAAAGCCCTTGTGTGAAACTTTGCAATATACGTCAAGGCTAACTATATTCTTCTTAAATTTTATACATAATGTGTAATTCGTTGTCGGGGGTACTGATTCTTACGTAATTACTAATTATATTATTTTGAAATTTTATATATGAATATTATCGAAAGCTGAGCTTTCATTTTGATGATACCTATATGAGATTATTGTGCGGTCATAAGCACTTGTGTATTAAACAAGTGTGCTTCATTATTTATGGGGCAAATAATTTACTATTGGATTTGTCCTCACTGATTTTGTCGGCATTATTGGACCCTTTTTGTTTATTTAATTTCACGGTTGGCTTGTTCTCCCTCGCCCTTTTCATGGAATAAAATTATAATTAAACCTTGACTCACAGTTCACGAAAGGATACCCATTATTGGCCCGCTTAAGATGGTCAACCCATGAATTTATGGATGCCCGTATTAATTATAATTTCTCTCTTCTTGTTTCCTGCTTTCATCCCCCTAGTAACTGGGATGGGAATTTATTTAAATAACTGCTTCTGTGTTTTTAATCTCAAAGTCAGAAGAGCTCTTGCATATTACTTCTTTCAGATTGGATTAATTGGTCGTCGTATATATAAGTATACGTTGATGATCTATGGAGTATTTGGCATTTATTTCCCTAATTTGTACACTTCTGTACAGTTACATTTTATAAGTAATTAATTTATTATAATTGATATAGCATTGACTTTATTAATCAATAGCATGTTTGAAAAGCTATTCATGATTTTCCCTCCCTACGTTTAATGGTATAACTATCTTCTTACTACTCTTCCGGTCCTTGATGTAGGACTCAATTCTTGAGTTAGTTTTGGTCCTAAATATAAGACCTATTTCTCATATTTGTCAATTTTCTCTAAATTATCCCTATGAATACACCCTCAATCATAATCAAGTAAAAGAGGGAGATGATGTATTAAAAAAAATGATCATGGTGTTTTAGGAAAAATGTGTCACTTTTCTTATAATTAACTAACTTAGTCAACTTCCTTAATCTAATCAAATTAATTAAATAGATCTTATATTAAGGACTGGAGGAGTAATACTTGTACTCCAGCATGAAGTGATCAAACTAAAGCGGATGGAGGAATATAATGGCATTTTTTTTTTGTTTGCCAGAGAATGGAGGAATGACAATGAGTAGAGTATATAATAAAAGCCAAGGCCCTTGCCTACATTTGTGTTTGTGTATAATGAAGAAGTAACGACGAACGAGATTGGTACTTGATAGTGAAGGCGCTGTTATTACGAGAATATTGTTATGTTCTTGGATAATGAAATCATGACATCATCGAAAATACTCCTCCGGTCCTTAATATAAGACCTATTTAACTAATTTGATTAGATTAAGGAAGTTAGGTAAGTTAGTTAATTATAAGAAATGTAACATGTTTTTCCTAAAACATCATGATCATCTTTCTTAATACCTCTCTCCTTCTTCTATTTGATTATAGTTGAGGGAATATCTATAGGGATAATTTAGAAAAAATTGATAAATATGAGAAATGGGTCTTATATTTAGGACCAAAACCAACTCAATAATTGGGTCTTATATTAAGGACCGGAGGAGTATATAAAATATGAATTCTAATTAGCGACCAAAGTAGATGCAGGAAAAATACGAGGTAAAAGTTGTATACATAGATGGGGTTACAACATTAAGGGATGCGCGCGCGTGTTTTTTTTTTTTTTTGGGGTGTTGACAGAGCTGGTAATATGCGGGTTCAACCCGTAAAAAATAACGGGTTAGGGTTGGCTTAAGGCCAACCCGCCAGTAAACGAATCTTTCCAACCCGTACCGCCAGGCCTACAACCCGTCGTGGGTTAGCCCGCCAACCCGCGGGCTAACCCGCATATATTTTTTTTATTTTTAAAATTTTTAAAATTTTTATAATTGTATTATTATATATGATATTATATCTAAAAAATTAAAAAAATACCTATATAATTTATTTGGTATTTTCAATTAAATATTTCAAGAAAATGTAAAAATATCATTATATTTTTTTAAATATTGAATAAAAAATAATATTAAAAGATTAAAAATTTTTTTAAAAAAAGTAAATAATTGTTGGCGGGCCAACTCCTCAACTCACCTTGGTGGGTTAAGGTTGGCTAAAAGCCAACCCGCTTTCAAACGACACTTTTCAACTCGACCCATATAGGTTGAACCCACCACGGGCTAACCCGCAACTCGCGGGTTGGCCCGTATTGCCACCTCTAGGTGTTGTGTTCAATGGCAAGGGCGAGCCGAACTCGTGGCTTCAAGGAATGGATAGCGTTTGGAGTTGGTGAACTACAGTACGGGCGATTCAGAGATTGGTAATCATTCAGAGTTGGTGAATCGCATATACATGCCTTTAAGGTGGAGCCCACGTCTTTCCGAAAATAAAACGGCATTCAACGCTGGATCAGCTTCCCCACCCCAGTGCCCTCTTTCATCACATACACTTCACCTTTTGCTTCTCCCCTCTCCCTTCCTCTAACTATTTTCCCCTTCTCAGGTCCCCCCCCTCCCCGGGGCCCAACTCTTACTGCCTCAACTTGGCCGACTTTATTCATATATACGATCTCCCATCAGTAACGCCCCCCTCATGACGAGCTTGGACGGCTCAAGCTCTGCTTTCTACATCATGCCCGTGGACATGGGCATGGACTCCGTCCATGAACTTCAATTCTCCGGCTACAGCAGCACCACCACACCAACCAAGGATGATGATTATGCCGCCGGTTGCCATTGGAACCACTGGTCCCCCCTTGTCAACTGGGAAGCCTTCGCCGGCGCCGAAGACGATTTCCACGGCCTCATAGAGTCCATGATAGATGACTCTGCCGGCATCCTCAGCCCCCAACACGGAACGGAAGAAGGCTGCAACTCGGCCAACTCTTCCTCGACTGAAGTAACCCTGGTGGACGAAGAGTTAAGCGACGGTGTCGAGGATTTCAAGGGTCTCAGGCTGGTGCACCTTCTGATGGCGGCCGCCGAAGCCCTCGCCGGCGCCAATAAGAGCCATGATCTGGCTCGAGTGATATTGATTCGGCTCAAGGAGTTGGTTTCCCCCACCGACGGCTCCAACATGGAGAGGTTGGCGGCGTATTTTACGGAAGCCTTGCAGGGTTTGCTAGAAAGCGCGGGGGACTCACAGGATAACAGCCATCACCACAGGCATTTCATCGGCAATGGACCCCACCGTGAGGACCACCCTCCGATGGATATGCTGGCCGCCTTCCAGCTCCTTCAGGACATGTCCCCTTACGTCAAGTTCGGCCACTTCACCGCAAATCAGGCCATCCTGGAGGCCGTGGCCAACGAGAGGCGAGTCCACATCATCGATTATGACATCATGGAAGGCATCCAGTGGGCCTCCTTAATTCAGGCCCTCGCAGCCAAAACAGACGGCCTGCCCGGACCACACCTCAGGATCACCGCATTGTCCAGGAGCGGAGGCGGAAGAAGATCCATCGCCACCGTGCAACAGACGGGGCGTCGTTTGACGGCGTTCGCGTCTTCCGTGGGTCAACCGTTCTCGTTTCATCAATGCAGGTTGGACTCAGACGAAACATTCCGACCTTCGGGTCTGAAGCTGGTTCGAGGAGAGACCCTGGTGTTCAACTGCATGCTGCATCTTCCCCACCTCACTCACCGGGCATCCGAATCGGTGGCATCGTTCATGAACGGAGCGAAGACGTTGAATCCGAGGCTAGTGACACTGGTTGAGGAGGAGACCGGGGTGAGCGGAGACGGGGGGTTTGTGAGTCGTTTCATGGACTGTTTGCACCATTACTCGGCCCTTTACGACTCGCTGGAGGCGGGGATACCCATGCAAAGCGGGGCGAGGACGTTGGTGGAGCGGGTGTATTTGGGTCCCCGAATAGCGGGGAGGGTGGCGAGGATATACAGAAACGGGTGTGAAGAGGAGAGAGGATCGTGGGGAGAGAGCTTGGGGGAGATGGGGTACAAGGGAGTGGCCATGAGCTTCGCAAACCAATGCCAGGCGAATCTGCTATTGGGACTGTTCAACGATGGCTATAAGGCAGAGGTGTTGGGCTGCAATAAGTTGGTGTTGAGTTGGAGATGTAGGCGTTTGCTTTCCGCCTCTCTTTGGACATCTTCTTCCCCCACTGCTTCTTCTCAATCCTAGCTTATTCTAATTATGCCCATTCTCGCTTCTCTTTTGATCTCATGCATCTTCTTCTGCTTTTGTGTCTGGGGACGTACACTAATTCATGATTCGAGACGTCTTCTTCATAAAGTGTTCGGTCGCCATTGAAGAATGAATGCCTCAGGGTCTGTTCGATGAAGCAGCTAGTATCTGCTTTGTGTTTCCTCTCCTCCTCTCCGTTATAGTATTTAATTTCCAAATGGAGGCACAACCAATGTAGGCGCAGCTTTTTTCTTCTCAAGAGCTCTCGATCTGATTCATGTATTTATCTTCGAATTTTATTATGTAATCCATTCATGTGTTGTTTACCGGAAAGCTTAAAGCTTCTTCGCATATATTCCATTTTTCTATATCTTAGTTTCAGATACCGCATGTGCTGGTTTAACTCGTGATCTCCGCGAGCTTCTTGAAATATGTTAATTAAGAGTACCTAAAGTATACAAATAACATACCTCTGTGTGTGTGTGTGTGTGTGTAACTTGCAGTTTTTGGTTCCCAGCGATCAAGACATAATCAGTTTCCACGTACGTTCATCATATACCTGTGTGCTTTTCACTTAAAAAAGTAAATTAGGCCGAGCATTCACCATACATATATAGAGAAAGGGGGGGGGGAGTCTCTCACCCTTTTAGTAGCTATATTATTTCAGCTATTGAACCCAATACAAACAGACTACAGAAGGGAATTCTGAGATTTGCTGACTGTACGTGGGCAAGAATGAACTCGTTTTAGTTACTTGAAATCGGAGTAACACACACACACACACACTGATATTTATCCAGTGGGGTTCAAATAAATATAAACCTGGCCTGATGGTACATAAACAGCGCAGTGCGCATATCACATATATTATTAATGGAGGTTATGAGGATTCCCGACTCACTGCTCATGGCAAAGTTATATAAATATATATATCTACCTTTTTTATGAAAAGAAAAGAAATAGGGTAGGGTTTGGGGGGTGAAGAGGATGATGGAGCGTTAAGCGTGCGGTAGGTGGCCATTTCCCTCTCTTCCATGTGTAAGCCCGGCGTGGAGGAAGATTCCTGGGAATGTTCCCGTACATATGCATCACTCTGTTTGGATTTGCGTAAGAAAAAGAAAAAGAAATAACTCGTCTTGTAACAACTACTAAACTAAATGTTTTTTTATGTTCCAGCTTTTTGGATCAGGACCCAGGCTACTCCAGCTAAACCAATTAATTACGCAGCGCCATCACCATCCACATTAATAAGCAAATTAATGCTGGATCGGCAATGCTAATGAAACCGACATTCTTCCTTCTACTTGTAGTTGATCGACAACCCCAGTTGATTAATTATATGGATATATAGTTATGGATCGGAGTTCTTTTGGATCTATATATATATATATATGCTCAGAAAGAGGAAAGGAGAGAGATGGAATCTGACATAATCATAATTCTCCTTAGTTAACATCTTGCCAGCTAATTATCTTTCCAGATTTCAATGGTTTGATCAACTTTTTGCAGCAACAGTTTTATTTGTTCGCCAGGGTTATGGATTGTCGCATATGATTTGAATATAACAAGTGGACACGCACAAAAACATATATAAGTTTAGGCTTTGGGTTGACCCCTCAATTAATTATACTTATAACATACTCCCTCACTTTTCTTTACATGCTCCATAATCCGACAAGGGGTTGTAATCCTGCGCCCAGCGATCGTTCTGCTTAACTAGTTTATTTCTTCAATCCAAACCTAGATCAACTGACTATACACATTCTCTCTCATTTTTCCAATTTATTCTTGTCCATTTGACCTCATTTAATCATTCGATTCATGTTAACCCAATTTCTTAACTCCGTTGCAGAAACAAGATCCTTGGAATTATTGCCTTGTTGAAATAAAAAGAGAGCGAAACAGATGAGACTGTGAAGCTCTGCTCAATCAAAAGTTTATTTGGGCCGGAGCCCATCTATAACAAATCGGCCCTTACGGGAGAAAGTCCAGAATCATGTCACATGGGCCCAAAATGCATCGCATCTATTTTTGTTCCCCTTTTCATTTTATTATATTATCGTTCAATGCGATTCGGGTGCATGTGCATCCTTCCCCATTCCGGCATTCCCCCACCAGTGACATTGGTGATTGGCTGACTCGTTTGAGGACCCCACGTATGAGCCATGGTCCCCAGTGCCCGTGCTCAAACGCACGCCACAGTCCCTTCCCTTCCCTTTCTCCTTCCCCGGGGATAGGGGGGGAAAAAAAAAGAATCTCTATCGAGCATGACACTCTCGCTGTTCCTCTGCTCTGCCTTCGCAACGAAACCCTAATACGATTTGCGCGTTTGACATGCAGGTTCCGTGTACATCGACGCATCCCCGAATGAGATTCAAGACATTCTCATTCCCAAACCTGTCTCGGCATTTCTACAGGGTCTTCAACCCCTCCTGCGTCCCGACATCAAATCCGCTGTCTTCCCTCCCCACCATGGCCACTCTTTCTACTCAGAAAGAACCCCTCTCTCCTTCCAGCGATGTCACTCACAAGACCCACCACCCTTTGCAGGTACATCTCTTGTCCCTTGTTATGATGCCTATTCGTCAAATTGTTCATACTTCAATCTTATTTGCGATTTCTCTTTTTCATTGTACAATTAGCCATTTGCAATTCCTATCCATTTTTCCCCTTCTGTGTTCGTCTCCTGCAATTATGCTTACAGTGTTGGCTAATTTAGTTCTCTTGTCTGATTTTTGGAATTGGTGTTAGATGTGAAAATTCTGCCATCCAAGTGGCTATCAATTTGTGGTTAACCTTGTTTCTAGTACATTCACCAATATCAAAGTTTATATTATTTCTGTTCCTGTTTCCATGCTCTAATACAACTATAGGGCCAACTGATGTACTGGTGCTGTAGCTAACCTGCTCTAAAATTGCTTTGATTTGCCGTCCTTAACAATCGTTTGGGTCTGTTTATTCGGTTCTTAAGATAGGTCGTTGGGAGTGAGTCAGTTATGTTTCCTTTTTTTTTTTTTTTTTTGGCCCCCCATACAACGGAAGTAAAGCAGTTATATTTCCTTTATTATGAATATCACGATTCCCCCTTCCCCCCTCTTAATGACTTAGCATGTCTCAACCCTCGTTTCCCATTGTCGTTTGGTTGCCGTATCCTTGTGGATTTTATAGTTTCTTAGTAAAGGGCATATCCACATGGTTTCTTGCATTAAGCTTTTTTTTCCTTCTATTTTTTGGGTGGGGATGGGGAATTGAAGATGCTAGCTCCTCAAGTCCTGGCACTTGTTATTTGATGCAAGGACAGAGGTTTAGGATCAAATTTTGTGCAGTAGAAAGGGGAGCGTTTGCGAGAGGAAGAGTTCTGGGTTTCGTTGTGAATTACTTGTACGTGACCTCATTGAATCTTATTTTGATAATTTGTATACAAGGTTGCGAAGCGCTTGGAGAAGTTCAAAACAACAATATTCACCCAAATGAGTCTTCTTGCCATAAAACATGGAGCCATAAATCTTGGTCAAGGCTTTCCAAACTTTGATGGTCCAGATTTTGTCAAGGAAGTTGCGATTCAGGCCATTCGGGATGGGAAAAATCAATATGCTCGGGGATATGGAGTTCCAGACCTGAACTTTGCCATTGCCGATAGATTTAAGAAAGATACTGGACTTACAGTGGACCCCGAAAGGGAAGTTACTGTTACAAGTGGGTGTACAGAGGCAATTGCCGCAACTATGTTGGGATTAATAAATCCTGGTGATGAGGTTATCATGTTTGCTCCTTTCTATGATTCTTATGAAGCCACTCTATCCATGGCTGGCGCAAAAATAAAAGGCATCACTTTGCGCCCTCCAGATTTTGCTGTCCCCATGGAAGAATTGAAGTCTGCCATTTCCAAAAATACCCGTGCCATCATGATAAATACTCCTCACAACCCGACAGGAAAGATGTTCACTCGAGAGGAGCTCCAAACCATTGCATCGCTTTGCATTGAGAATGATGTCCTGGTCTTCACTGATGAAGTATATGATAAGTTGGCCTTTGACATGGATCACATTTCAATGGCTTCTCTTCCAGGAATGTTCGAAAGGACAGTTACGATGAATTCCTTGGGAAAGACATTCTCGTTAACGGGATGGAAGATTGGATGGGCAATAGCACCGCCACACCTAACATGGGGAGTCCGACAGGCACATTCTTTCCTCACTTTCGCCACTTCCACTCCTATGCAGTGGGCAGCTGCCGCAGCTCTTAGAGCCCCGGATTCTTACTTTGAGGAGCTAAAGAGGGACTATATGGCGAAAAGAGCTATTTTGGTGGATGGGTTGAAGGACGTTGGTTTCAAGGTATTCCCATCCAGTGGAACATACTTTGTGGTTGTAGATCACACAACTTTCGGACTGGAAAATGATGTTGCGTTTTGTGAGTATCTAATTAAGGAGGTCGGAGTAGTGGCCATTCCCACCAGTGTATTTTACTTAAAGCCAGAAGAGGGAAAGAACCTTGTCCGATTTACTTTCTGCAAGGATGAACAGACTTTGAGGGCGGCAGTGGAGAGGATGAAGGAGAAGCTTAAAGGAAAGTGATCAGAACAGGAACTAGTTTGAAGCCTGTTAAGTTAGGGAATGAACGTTCGTCGAGAATAGTTCTAGATTGAAGGCCGTGTCATTTCGAGAAATAATAATGCCATTGAAGCTAGGGGAATTTGCTAGTTGCTAGAGGAAGCTAATCCGTCTTGTTATTCAGAGTTCATTAACTTATCATCAGTTGCTTCTATAAGTGGTGTTTTCTTGGCTCTCCCTTACCGATCCAAGGTTTTGTCTCCTCTTTTTTCCCCTCTCTTTTCTATTCTTTTTATAAAATTAGATTTTCCCCCCTAACGTGCTTGGCATGAGATAAATAATAATTAGATAACAAATTTTAAAATTAAAAAATTATTAATTTGAGAATAATATTAATTTGGATGAAATTCTAGAAATAGCAGGGAGAAAAGAGATGGGAATAAAAGAATAACAATAGTAGGCGAATAATGATGGCCCGTGGGCATGACGAGTCAGTCCACACACAGCGACGGCGAATCTGATCACAGTGAATAGTGGATTGAGCTATTAAGCCCAATAAGTATTCTTCATATCCAAGCCATTTATAAAATATATATTACTTGTTTGGAGATGCTGTTGAACAAACACATTCACCTAAATTATCGATACTTATGTCAGATTC